TTGTCTGTCAGATACTATTATATATATTTTAAAATCAACACAGACTAAGAAGGATTGGCCATCACTTGGGAAATGACAGGCCTTGGAAAACCCTATGTACAATATGTACAATAGAATACAGCCTAGGGAAACTCTTTTTGCTCTTAAAGCCTTCAACTGATTGATTGCTTTATTATGCTAAATCATATTTGGTTATAGATGATAACAGTATTACATAAATCAAGCAATATATTAGGGAAGTGAAGCTGCTTTATTTAAAGCCAGCTGCTTCAATCACATGTAACAATTCTGTAACAGCACCTAGACTAGTGTTTGGCCCAAACCAAGTTGACACAAAATTAAGCATGAGTGCAGCATCAGGGCGCAGCTCTCACAGCACAGTGGTTAAAATGTTCAGCTACTAACCAAAAAGTTGACGGCTCAAATCCACCAGTTGATCCATAGAAGAGCACTATCACAGATATAGCAATCCGACCCCCATAAAGATGCAGAGCCTGGGAAACCTGTGGAGCCAGTTATACTCAGCTCTCTAGGGTCTCTGTGAGTCAGAATCCATTCAATGGTAACAGGTTTGGTTGGGGATTTTTTGAGTTGGTCAGGGTTAAGTGGCAGGTTGGGGCTGAACCCTCTCTAAATTGTGCCTTGCCTTTAAGTATGACCACCAGCTCAGATAGTGACGGCAATTTTTAGTGTCAAATGCAATAGATGAAGATGGTCAGCTTGGAGCAGTGTGACTTTGGGGACACACTTGCTGTGCTCAGATAGGGATCCCTGGACTGAGGGAGAGACTGGTTCTGTGTAGGTCCAGAGGGCAGAACTAGGGCCTGGTGGTGGAGACTGGTAACATTGTGTGCAAGCTGAGAAAGCACAGCAGCATTCGGGCTAGAGGAGTGGGCCCTAGCACTGGAGGAACCGGAAAAACCCTTCCAAAGCCCACAATCTGCTGCAGGGAGTCTTATACTTGCCATTTCCCATCACTCAGATGAGGGAATAGGATGCTTAGCACCAAACCTCACATCACTGCAGGGTTTAGTGAGTGGGTAAGTTACGCTGTCCTGAAATTACCCCCAGGTGGAGAAGCAAAGGGAGGTGGAACTTCAAGAAACACTGGCCAAACAGCGAGTAGTCCTGGAGAGAGAGCATGAAGAGGCCCTGCAAGGTAAGGAAAAGGGCTATGGAGAGGGCGAGCGGGCTTCCCCTTGTTCTGCCTGTGCGTGGACTCACACTGGTCCTGCCCACCTGCTCTGATACTCAAACAGTTGACTGCATCAGAGTTGGAGTCTGTGGGATCTTTGGCCACAGAAACGTTTTCCTTTGGTTATGGATCTACAGGTCTGTCTCAATATTCTACTGTGCTATATTTGAAAAGTTTTTCCTTTACCATTTAAAAGCAGTGCATATTCATTAAAGGAAATTTTGAAAACCAAAACAAACAGGTTGTT